AATAGGTTTGCCTTAAAGATAAAAATAATCTAAGAATTATAGTTTTATAGTTAAAAGCAAATAGATCTGAGTCTGTAATTTGGTAAAATTAATACTAAGATTAGATCAGAAAGTTTAAATAGAACATTTAAGCAAAGATGTTAGGTATAGCAACTGGTGAAAAACCTCTAGATAAACTTCTTAAATAGGTAATATAAAAAAGTTATATATATAACCAGTTGTACACTTGTCTGAAAGTTTAATATAAATACATCTATATAAAACATATATCTGATATAAGTATTAATAAAAAAAGCTAGAATCAAAGAGGTCACCTTAATATTGAAAAAAAAAGTCTATTAATAGCAATATGGCAACCTAGTAAAATGATCAGGTTGTTAATCTTCCAAGTAGTAAGTTGGATGTTCAAATTCTATTAATGATAAAAATTTGAATAATTACTTATATAATATTTATATTATAGCAACTGTTACTAATAATAAGTTAGGATATCTATAATGACAGTCATATTAGCATAACTGACAAATTATTATTATTTTTTTTTTTTGATGTTAAGGTGACCTTTTTGGTCTTTTAACTTTTATTTAATGATAGTAAATGTGGTTCAATAAACTATTACAGAAAGAGTATACAATTTGCTATATATGTAACTTTTCTATATTACTTATTTAAGAAGTTCACCTGAAGGTTCTTTACTAATTGTTATATCTACTACCTCTGCTTGAGTATTTTACTTTAAACTTTCTAAACCTGCAAACCTGTTAATTTCACTAAATCATATCCAGATATTCAGATTATCATCTCAAGCTTAGAACTATTTTATCTTCAAAATAAACCTTTTGAAGTCTTTTGTACCTATTTTTATAGCTAACTCAGTATTACTATGACAGAACTAATACTTGTGATTAGGGTTAACCATTAAACTACTATGCTTTTGTAGAGTTTATACAATTCTAGCATCTACTTTATAGTATAACTCCAGTACTTTAGTATACCTTTGCCTTTTGTTCAATTTTTTATTCAGGCTCTTAATTCAAATAGACTGTGTAGAACTATGACCAGTCTATTAGTATATTAGGTTAGCTGATATCTTTTTCTTTCAGTTCATTCTAATGTCCTAGTTGGTGATATTTTTAAGACTCTTAACTTAGAGATTCTTACCTATTCAGGTACTATAACTGAATGCTATAATCTAGGTATCTGTTTTTTTAGACTAGTCTTTACAGTAGAGCTGTTAAAGATCTAATTACTTCTCTATTTAGGTCTTTTCAAATAGACTTTTTGTTACCTAATTTCAACAGATTTATATAGCTATAAGAATTTATTTAGTGTTTGTATTGTTTAATTTGTCAGTTTGTATTCTTTTGTGTAATAAGTTACACTGATGCTCCATGATCTGTCAGTTATACTAGTGTAACTACCATTACAGATATCCTAATTTAATTATTAATAACAGTTACTGTAATACAAATATTACATAGGTGATTATTCAAATTTTTGCTGACAATAAAATTTAAACATCTAACTTACCACTTGAAGGGTTGACAACCTGATTACTTTACTAGGTTATTACATCTTTATAACTGACCAATTATAAGGCATCTGTGTAATATAGTATTATACAAAGAAATGCAAACTAACAATTAGGTAGTACAAATATTAGATAAGTTCTTGTAGCAGTATAAATTTGTTAAAATTAAATAACAAGAAGTCTATTTAAAAAGATTCAGGTAAAGAGATAATCAGATTTTCAATGCTTCTACTATAAAATCTAGTTTAAAAAAACAGATACCAAAATTATAATACTCAAATAGATAAGAATCTCTGAGTTAAAAGTCTCAGAAATATTAACAACCAGACTGTCAGAATAAACTAGAAGAAAAAGATATTAGACTAATCTGATATATTGATGAATTAGTTGTAATTCTATATAGGCTATTTGAATTAAGAGTTTGGTGAAAAGACAAAAATATACTAAAGTATTGGAGTTATATTATGAAATAAATACTAGAATTTAAGTAAACTCTACAAGAATATAGTATTTAAATAATATAACTCTAATTGTAAGTATTAATTTTATCATAGTGATACTAGATCAGTTATAAAAATAAGTACAAAAGGCTTTAGGAGGTTTATTTTGAGAATAAAATAGTTCTAAGATTGAGACAATGATTTAGGTATCTGGGTATAACCCAATAATATTAACATAGGTTGTAAATTTTGAGAATTTAAAGTAAAATACTCAAGCAGAGATGTTAGATATAGCTAGGGTTTCTCAAATTCAAATCAAATCAAATATTGAATTAATTTAAATTTGGTTAAATCAAATATGTTCTTAATTTAATTTGATTTGATCTAATTAAATATTTGAATTAAATATTTGAATTTGATTTGATTTTTAAAAAAATTTAAAATTTTGATTAATAAAAAAAACTTAATTTATAAATAATTTTACTATATTAATTAAACTTGAACTTTTAAATAAAAGTAATTATATAAACAAATATCCTTAGTTTTATAGAACAAAAAAGCAATTGTCTTAATAAAATTTTAAATAAATAATTTATAATTTTGAACATTCAATTATAAATTTTCAAATCAAATATTTAAATATTTATCAAATCAAATCAAATTTAATTATATTTAAATTTGATTTGATTTAAAATTTTCAGATTTGAATTTAATTTGAATTTAAATATTTAATTAAATCAAATTAAATCAAATTAAATTACAAAATCCTAAATATAGCAATTAATGAAAAATCTTCAAACAGACTTCTTAAATAGATAATATAGAAAAGTTATATATATATCTAATTGTATGCTCTTTTGTAGTAATTCATTGAATTATATTACCAAAAAAGTCATTAATAAAAAATCAAAAAATCAAAAAAATCATCTTAATATCAAAAAAAAAACAAAGTCTATTAATAAAAATACAACTAGTAATATGTATAACTTTAATTATTCTTTAATTAAGGATTTCATTTATAGGTTATTTACTAGATATTATATTTAAGACCTATTTCTGAATTTTCTATTTAAACTTTCTATTTTTAATACTTATTTGTATATATATACAATCTTTATATTATTATTATAATAACATATCAGATTAGGATTATTTAATTATTATTTATATTAAAGTACTATATCATTGGATATTACTAAGTATTTATAGTTCTTTGAATTTATCTTTGACACAAACTTACTAAATATAATATTAAGATTATCTCTTAGATTTTTTATTCAACTTTAATATATCCTGTATCTACTAAAACTGATGCAGTGTCAGAGGTATTTGAATTTTAGTAAGTTCATTTCTTTTTCATAACTTCTTTTTATATGCATTATATCACCTATTAGTGTGCTTTCTCTATTTCTGATATGTTCATCATTTCTCTCACATTAAACATCAACTCTTCATATTAGAAAACTTTTTTCTAAAAACTTTCTTATACACTAATATTCTATTTAATGAACTTAACCACAAAACTTTGCATACATTCATATGCTTTTATAGATTACAAAGTTTTTACCTTCAGTTAGAATTGAACCATTGACCTTGTCTGTAAAAGAAAGGACACCTAAACCACTGAGTCACAGAACCCAACCTCTTTCAAATTTAAATTTGATTACCAAATTATATATTAATCAATGTTAAACCTTGAAAAAATTTTTGAACTCATGATCTGTACTGATAACAGGCGAACCCATCTTCCCACCCCCGACGCATCTTATTAAACATATGAATTTATTAAAATGGCGCATCATAACTTGATTATCTCAGTAAAATCTATATTTACATATTAGTAGTCAAATTTTGGGGCATTTCGCAAATGCGCCGTAATTTTAATTTTATATTCTGATTAAGGATTTTCGCACTGTAGAAGTCCAAGTAAGATCGACCTAATAAAAATTTTATTTCAATTGAAAAAACGTCATGCTTTTTTATAGTCTTATCTGCGATTCCATTGATTGCGTTTGTCACGTGACTTTTAAATCGTCACAACTCGACGAAGCGGACGGTCTACGGACACGTACCTATTATAAATCTAAAAACATGTCACGTGCAAATATACCTACCCTAAAGTTGCACTCAACAAAGAACGATGAGTATAGCAAAACATATGTTTTTGATATTCCTACACCTACTTTTTTGGTACATCTAAAATATCCTAAAAGTAACCACGTTATTCTAGTAAAAATTAGTAAAAAAAGATATAAATTTTAGGGTAGGTTTAGATCAGGGTTGGCATGGACCGGTCAATGGTCAAGCTTGACCAGACCAGTTTGACCAATTTGACCAGTTGGTCAAAGAATTTAGTATTGGTCAAATTGGTCAAATAATATATAAAGTATATAAATATATTTGTTTATTTATTTGTATATTAAAATTATTTATTTAATAGGCTAGACCATTTGACCAATTTCACCAGACCAGTTCGACCAACATTTGACCAACCCTGGTTTAGATGTATCAAAAAAGTAGGTGCAGAAGTATCAAAAATGAATGTTTTGCATGAGCCTAGTTAGTGTCACATGACCTTCGCATGACATTTAATTCTCCAAATTTAGGCAATCATATAGAGATAAATACAGAAATATATGTACAAAAAATCATAAGTGTTAAATAACCAATTATCAGCCTGTCAATTGAGTAATTAGAAAATATTAGATCCATTTATTAATTCTTGACAAGAAATTTTTTAGGGTGAAACTTTACAAAAGAAGCTATACAAAGAAAAATTACAAGCAATTGACGAGTTTTTTTTTTTTTAATGTGGAAATAAACTATACTAATGATAACCAACAATTTTTAAAATACGACAACAAATACTAAAATAACAATTACACAGAAACATCCAGATGCTATATGTGTCCTTATTCTACTACTAACCACATTCCAAATGGATTATTATTTATTTATAATCCACATTGGATTTATATATATTTTTTTAAGATTAGTTTGTGGATGAAAATATTTTCTCAACCGCATCCTCAATAATGGCCATACATGAAAGAATTAGATGGCATCGAAACCGATGGATATACATCACTCTTTATGAACGATGGATAGTACGGAGAATAATTAGAACTAAAGCCAGAGCTGACGATCGTGGTAGTGTTGCCAGGAGAGTTAAGAGGTGTTAAAGGAGCATTACTCGAACCATTACTATTGGAAGTGCTCGCAGTGCTAGCAGGGGAAGAAATTGCAGGAAGTGTGGGAGATGGAGATGTTGCTTGATCATGCTGATGTGATCGAGAATGTGACGCAGCACTAACAGTAGAGGAGCGGGCAGAACTATACAAATCGGGTAGGAAGGGAGCTTGATCATTAAACGTGTTAATGTTGTGGGTTGCAGTAGCCGCATACAGCATGTCGCTACCCGCTTCTGCATGATGACTATTAGATTGATGACTCATGGATGGAAGATTGCTTCCTGAGTTATGAGGATGTGGTACATTCGATGAATACGAAGAATATTGATATTCGGGCCAAGAGCTGTTTTGTCCGTTCGAATTATTTGGTGTTTGATGATAATAATTATTATATTCTATCTGCGAACTAATGTTAGGCATTAATGGTGATAATAGCCTTGGTGTTGTATTATTACCAAGTGATATAATTGGTGGAAATTCATATGATGATTGCCGATTCATGAATTCACGTACCGAAGGCATCGGTAGCGTGTGCGAGCTATCATATACATTCGAAGCCGTAGCAGCATGACCATGTGAATCGTAGGTATTTGGGTAGTTGTGAGCTAAAGAACCAGAATAATAGATACTGACTCCAGAAGAATTTGAATTTTCAATTTTAGCCTTTAAATGAGACGAATTTTCATCCAGCTTTGTGATAATCGTGTGCTGTGAAGCAGTGGTAGCAGGTGATTGTTTCTCGTAAGAAATTACATCTAATTTTGTTTAATAAAAATTATTCGATCAGTTTATCGCCATTTAACAAAACTTGTTAAATGATAAGTTGTAAACAATCGTACTTTTCGAATTTAGTTCACCTTGTTCGTAATTCGATTCGATTACTGGCGGTATCCTAAAGTTTTGTTTTAATAAAAATTCGGGTGCGATTTCAAGAATTGCCAGATCTGGGATCGCAGAAGGGATCTTAAGTTTACAGGCAAGTACGTCTTCTTTAGTATAATAGCTAATCATGTGATGATTTACTCCATTCACCATTATGGACATTGTTTTCTTGATTAAACCTCCCTTCTTGAAACGATATGTGTTGGTTAAACTACCAACTAAAGCGCGTTCCTTATTTTTCTCTACTTGAAATTCCGTATCTGTGCTATTACTTCGCTGGCGTTCTACAGGTGTGGTTTCTTTCTTTCCAGCCGGTGTACGTTTATCCAGTTCACGATAAATAAGAAAGTTTCCAAGGATTCGTGAAGGGCTCCATAGCAACCCGTCAGTCCAACGTTTTATTCCAGATTCGCGTTCATCAAAAACAAATACACTTCCCGAAGTTATTATCTTGCGTTCTTTTTCTTGAAGACGTCTACTTATCTTTACGAGATTGCCTCTTCGACATGCTTCGAACAAGAGAAGCGTATCTTGTGTTGTTTCAATATATCCTATGAAAGTCGGCTCAATGCTCATATCTACTTTTAATTATAATTACCAATTATTTAACTTGTAAAATATGCACTTTTACGCGACTTGAGAATAATAAAGTTTTATTTGAAGCAGAATGGAAGTTATTTCAGAGAGGAATAAAACAGTGATGATTTGGGGAGGTTCGTCAAACGGGGTGTTTATTTTATATGCGTACGGATCAGGTCTGTGCGACTACTTTTTTTCTGCATTATCTATAAAATAAATATATATATATATAGATATATATATATATCAATAATATATATAATGCAGTCTTTTTTTATGTTAACAAATTTAGCACATATTTACGGGGGGAGTTGGTCGAATAGTTGAAGAGGTAAAGACAGAGTGAAATGAGGAAATGTGGCAACGGAAAAAGTCTTGTGAATTATTATTCGCCGTACATATTAATATATCTTGAATCCTTACGACTTTTAGTTTTAAATGTTGCTATTTTATGGGACGGATCGTGAATGCATCACTCTGCATAGAATTTCTTATTGTCTTAGTGAGCTTTGACTTGCATGATGATCGCCAAAACACTTGCCAACTTGTTTCTATTATGGTAATTCTCCATCTCCTCTCTTCAAAGTCTGTATTTTCTGTCTAACGACGGTGGCATAAAATATAACAACCCTGACGAGTAAGCGTGGCGGGGCATATCACGTGATTATATGCTAGGCATCATTATTAATAACCATCGCAATAAATAGAATATTAGGCAGATTCCCCAATAAAACCAGTCGCACATGATTCTTAGTACATAATGATAAGCGTTAAATTGTTCAAGATTAATGAATTGAACGATTCATAATTCATAAATTACATAATTCATAAATTACCATATTTATAAACCATAAAGATTTCATATTTTATTTCATAGTCAATTAACATCATTAACATCAATAGATCATTTTCAATGAAATCTATAGTGTCGATCCTTCATTAATCTCATAGAGTCACTACTACGTAAAAATGACACCAAGTTAATATGTGAATTCGTGTCATCTCGTCGAAGCAAGAAAGCAAAAGAGAAAAGGCCTAGACTTTATGCTTTCTCTAAAACAATGGGTTTATTTGAAGATTGTATAACACTGTACGTTTAACCCCCTAACAAATATACATTTTTGACATCGTAACCGATTACTGTTACATATTAAACATAAAAACACCCTCTACTAAAATATATATTTTGATTACGTATGTATGAGCTAATTATATATATTATTTATATAAATATATACGATCTAAAAATTAATTACTTTATTAGAAATTGTTATGATAATTTTAGGCACTCGGAAAATGTGTACCAGGTTTGGGGCGCAGATCTCCTGAACTACGAATAAGATTTCAGGATTAGGTGTGACGTAACACGATCACGAAGCAGAACAAACGTTCGTTCTCGCTCACAACTCAAAAATCAACATAAGAATCCCTTTTGTGCTCTAACAAAAAGATTTCGTTGGACAATTTTATTATATAAACTACTCCCTCTAGTTCCCAATGCCGACCCTAACCCAAATCTTAACGAATTTTAAGAATTTCGTCTGCGCCACAAGCCTGATACACATTTTTCGAGTGCTAATTTTAGCATTACTTTCTCGTGATTAGTCAATAACTCATGGCAAAAAATATTAATCGCTAACACTAAAAAAGCTTTTATTTTTTAAAGGTTTAATTTTTACACTATTTATTGGACACAAATTGGTGAGTTTATTTACAAGCTACTTGATAATTAAGTGATAAACGTTCATCAAAACATGATTTTAAATAATTATACAGTTAAAGATGTCTGACGACCGTTATAATAAACTATCCGATTTAGCAAACAAATTTGTACACTAAGAAATTGAACTTGAAAAAATTTTTTTATAAAATTCAGGTAGGAACGTCCCGAGTATGCCCGAGTATGTAGATAGTTACACACTGATTTAAAAAAAAACTTTTATACGTTTTACAGTACGTTTTTTGAAATTTGGATAGATTATCTTTTTGCAAAATAGCTTAGTTTACTAAGCAAACAAAATTTTTTATTTTGCTTTACAACATATTTAATTAATTTCTATTAATTTTACAAAAACTTGATATTGGTTTTAAAATTAGTTTAAAATATGGGCCTGTGCCTTGAAAATGATCTTACGAACTATGTGGATTTTATGAATAAAAAGTAAAATTTCCGACCATCCAGTAATCCAATTCAAATAAACATTTTTTTATTTTGTAGAACTTGCCAAGCTTTACAAAATAAACAAAAGTTATTTGAATTGGATTACTGTATAGTTAGAAATTTTTATTTTTATTTATAAAATCTACATAGTTCTATAAGGTTATTTTTAAGGCACAGACCTTATATATTCAGAATATTTTTTTAAATAATAGGTTATAATAAGTTTGTAACTAGTAATTATCAAATTATAAAAATTTTATTATTTTATTTTATTATTATTATTAAGTCCAATAGTAATGAGAATTATGATTTTTATTAATGTTTTTAATTATATATTACATATAACTTGTACAAAAATAAGTATATAAGCTTCACTTTTAATATTTAAAAAATATATATAACTAATTGTATATGCAACTTTTAATTGCCTATTAGGATTAATTTAGCATTAGATAGTTATATATATATTAAATTGTTTTTTTAACATTTTTAATTAACTGATTCAAGACAGGTTTAGATTGTTATTTTTTTGTATTTTTTAGAAGTTTCATTTTTTGGTTTGCTTTGTTAATGATTATTAAAATTTTATAATTTAATTAGTTATTAATCATATATATACATAGTCAATTCAGACAAATTCCAAATTTTTAAAAAATAATTACTAATTATAAAAAATTAAATCTAACAAATAATTCTAAAATTTTATAAATATATTCTTTATAGTTATAAAAATATATTTAATTTATTTAAATAGAAATGTGTTAACTTAGTGAAGTAAATAAGTTGTCAATTTTCTAAGTGATAAGTTGTAAGTTTAAATCTTATTGATAGTAAAAATTTAAATTATTATTTATATAATATATAGACAGTATTATGACAATAGCATTTTGTTAATAAGATATCTATAACTATAGTTATACTAGTATTATTAGTAAGCTATAAGACATATATATAATTTTAGTTATATAAAAGAATATAAACTAATATTAGATAATGCAAATTTAAAATAAATTTTTATAGCTATATAAATCTATAAAACTAAAAAAAACTAAAGTTTATTTAAAAAGTTTAAATAAAAAAATAATACAAATATTTAATAATATTATTATAAAAACAAATCTAGAAAATAAATACTAATATAAATCAGAACTCTTTTCTATAGATTCTTCAATCAAAAATTGATAAGAAGCAAAACATAAAAAAAGGCACAAAACTTATTAGAAAGCAATACTTAAACCTTTAACAAAAAAGAAAAAATAGCAAAAGTTACATCTAATTAAAAAATAAAGATATAAGTAAAGAAGCTTAGAGGTAGTATAGCTTAGGAAGATTAAAATTTATAACAAAAACAAAAATTTTTTGTAAAAATTTTGAGGAATCTCTATGATTCTGTTGTAAAGATCAATTTAAGTTACATAAAAAGTATAGCAAATAAACAAATTAAACAAACAATATACATATAGTGAAGTAGTTTACTAGAATAAGTATATAATATAAAAACAATTAAACTAAACAAGCTGATAGCAAAAACATATAACAAAGATATTATAAAACATATTAAAGAAATAGATAATAGAAATCACAAACATGTAGATTGCAAAATATTAAACCAATTTCTCAAAACATTAACAAAAAACCTAAGCAACATAGAGCACATTACAAAAACTTAGCAATCTATAATCCAAAATGCATTATACTACAGGACTTGCTAGTATATAATTAGGTATTAGAAGTCTTAAAATAGCAGAAATAAGTTGACTTAAAGAAGAAATAATTGACAAGTAAGCAGAAAAGCTTAGATTAATAAGCTACAATTCAAGCTTATTTAAATATAATACAAATATAAAAAAAAGAAATGTATATCAAAATAAAAATAGAAGAGAAAAGATAAGAATTTAGTTGAAACTAACAAAACAGAAAATTTCATCAATAAAAAACAAATTAAGAAAAAAAAAACAATTCTAAAGAGTTAAAGCAGAGATTAGAAATACTAAAAGAACAAATAAAAAGGTTTAGCATTGCTACATCACAATAGCAAACAAATTAAGCTATTAATGATATTGAATATAAAGAAAAAATACCAACAAAAAGTAAAGAAATAAGATTAGAAACTATGGATATAGAAGTAACAAAACAAAAAAAAGAAATAAAAAATAAAAAGAATGAAACAATATTTTCTACAGGTTTAATCGAGCATAGTCATTGGTCTTCAGAAAATCAAATATATAATAAAAATAAGTTTTTCAAAACAAATATGCCAACATATGCCTTACTAGAAGAAACCAAAAAAGAAAGAGTAAAGTATATTTAGTAGATCTTAAGAAAAAATCATTCTATTAAAATAGTTAAAAAAGTATTCAAAAATGAAAACAATTGGATAGAAGTAAAATTTAACTGTGAGCATAATAGAGATACAGCAATGGATAAGATCAAGAAAAAAAAAGAAGAATGGCTAAAACTTATACCAAAAGAAATTAAAAACAAAACTTATAATATAAAACAGCAAGAAGAATGTAATACTAAGAAAAAAAAGAAAGGAAGTACAAGACAAATAAAAACTAAAAAAGGACAATAAAATAAATAAGTCAAATGTTAAAAATAGAAAAAAGAAAAAAGAAAAATATAAGAACACAAGTCAAACAAGAATGAAAATTAAAAATACAAAAAGCTTTCAAACAAAAGAAGATTTGAAAACAGATAACTATCTAATGATTTGAGATCTGTCAGTAAATATCAATATAGAAGAAATAGAACACATATACAAAAACATCAAAGATGTCAAAATAGACCAAATTAAAAAGTCCAAATACAAAACCTTGGTAATAATATATATTAA